GGTCTCGAACCCGCGGGCTCAGGCAATTCTCTCACCTCAGCCTCCCAAAGGCGTGGGATTACAGGCTGAGCCACCGAGTCCAGCTTGTATTAAATTTAAAAACACATAAAACTTAATGATAAAGCACGTGGGGAGAAAGAACAAATACTGAATAGTGGTTACACAGCATAGAGGATTTTTGACTTTTCTTAATACATATACAGGTCTATTTTATTTTTCTTTGTCCCTATGCCTACATGATACAAGTATATAAACTCTTTAGCTTTTTATTAGAGTAAATACATATACAGAACAATGCACCAATTGAATATATTCATGTAATGGGCACCCAGATCAAGATCAAATCATTAGGGTATATATAAAATGCTCCCTGTATTTCTATCAGTTGCTGCCACTCCCAAGGGTGACACTATCTGAATGTCTCATCCCATAGATTCATTTTACCAATTTTTGTACTTTGTATAAGTGGAATCATATAATACATATCATCTGTGTCTGACTTCTTTGTTTTTTTGTTTGGTTTTGTGATCAGTATCTCACTCTTGTCCCAGCTGGAGTGCAGTGGCACAATCATGGCTCACTACACCCTCAACCTCTTGAGCTCAGGTGATGCTTCCACCTCAGCCTCCTTTGTAGCTGGGACTACAAGTGTGTGCCACCATGTCCAGATAGTTTTTTTTGTAGAGACAAAGTCTCACAATATAGCCTAGGCTAGTCTCAAACTCCTTGCCTCAAGAGATCCTTCCTCCTGTCTCAGTTTCCCAAAGTGCTTGGATTACAGGTATGAGCCACTGTGCCTAACCAGGCTGCTTTTACTCTCATTATGTTTGTGAGATTCAGCCTTGTTACGCATCATTGGGTTTGTTCATTCTTATCACTATCTAGTGTTCCATTGTGTTAATATACCACAGTTTATTTGTTCATCATATGTCATATATCATATATAGCTTTTTGTTATTATTGGAGTATTTCATCAAAATAATTATTTCTTTTTTTTTTTTTGAGTTGAAGTCTCACTCTGTCACCCAGACTGGAGTGCAGTGGCCGCTCCCGGCCACCGCAGCCTCAACCTGCTGGGCTCCGGCGATCCTTCCGCCTCAGCCTTCCACCTCAGCCTTCCGAGTAGCCGGAATTACAGGCATGCGCTACCACGCCCGGCTGATTTTTTGATTTATTGTAGAGATGAAGTCTCGCTGCCCAGGCAGGTCTTGGACCCGCGGGCTCAGGCAATCCACTCACCTCAGCCTCCCAAAGGCGCGGGATTACAGGCTGAGCCACCGAGCATGGCTTTTTTTCTTTTTTGAGTTGGAGTCTCACTCTATCGCCCAGACTAGAGTGCAGTGGCTGCTCCCAACCACCACAGCCTCGACCTGGTGGGCTCCGGCAATCCTTCCGCTTCAGCCTTCCAAGGAGCTGGAATTACAGGCACGTACTACCACGCCCGGCTCATTTTTGACTTATTGTAGAGATGAGGTCTTGCCAAGTAGCCCAGGCGGGGTCTCGAACCCGCAGGCTCAGGCAATCCCAAAGGTGCAGGATTTCAGGCTGAGCCACCAAACCCGGCTTATTTCTATTTTTATTTATTTATTTTGAAACAGAATCTCACTCTGTTGTCCAGACTGAAATGCAGTGGTGTGATCATGGCTCACCACAGCCTCCACCTGCTGTACTCAAGCAATCCTCTCACCTCAGCCTCCTGAATTGACTATAGACATACACCACCACACCTGGCTATTGTTTTATTTTTTAAAGTTTTTTGTAGAGACCAGGTCTTGCTATGTTGCCCAAGCTGGTCCTGAGCTCCTGGCCTCAAGCAGTCCTCCCACCTTGGCCTCCAAAAGTGCTGGCCACTGTGCCTGGCCAAAATAATTTTGAACATAAATAAATAACACATTAAAAACTATAAGAACTATATGAAGATCTGCCATAAGAATCTTGCCATTCAGAGGGATGAATCAGTGAATTATCTGGGCCTCTGCTACCCTTCTCCTTGAGTTATAAGCTAACACACTCATCAGGGGTTCAGGAGAGGTTTGTGGTATGCCAGGCAACCACAGAGAAAGTCATAACAAATCATTTACGGAGCTCTAAACTGGATACACAGTCTTGTACTGGATTATGTGGAGACCAATAGAAAGACTGTTTCTTCATTCACGGCTGACGTCTCTTAGGAGTGAGAGACCTCAGTATGTACTTCCAAACTGGCAGGAAGTAGACAAGAAGAACCACTTCTATGCAGGCTTTTTAGCATGGAAAGTCCCTCAGCTGATGTGGAATCAGAGGGGTGAGGGGGTCATCTTCAGAATGACCTGTACTGAGTCCTTTTTGTCCCAAGACAGAAAGGTGATGGCCACTTTTTCCCCAGTAGACATACAACTGGGCTTTATCTCCCCAGCATTCCCATCCCCTCCAGAGGCCCATGTCACTCTGAGCCAGGGAGTCTGGGCCTTTATCTGGGCTCTGTTTCCTCCCTGGGGACACTGGGTCTTGGAGCAAGAGAACTTGGCAGGCTCTCTCCATGGCGGTCTTATTCCTCCTCCTCCTGTTCTTATGTGGGACTCCCCAGGCTGCTGCAGGTAAGGGGCAGGAGGTAGGAGATTCTTCAGCTATTTGCAAAGTTGGGGAGGGACTACACTCTTTCTCCTAGAGGCCTGGGGATGACATCTGACTCAAGAAGATAGATTTATTCCAACTGACCTCCTCCACCTCTGATATTGGGGAAGACCCAGAGGCAATAAGGGTTCAAGTTATATAAGAGAGGGGATCCTCCCAAAACCCGAATTTATGTATAAAAAATTATGTATTCTTACACGTTTAAACTTCAGTCACCTTTAAAGTACTCTCGATTTGATGCAATATACCTATTGAGACACTTTTTCCACTGCTCAAAACAGTTTTTGAACTTGTCAATTTTAAGCACTAAAAGTGCTTCTGCCATTTTTTGTTTCACCTCTTCCACACTGGCAAAACATTTCCCTTTGAGAACTTTTTAATTTTTTTTTTTTGAGTTGGAGTCTCACTCTGTGCCCAGACTGGAGTGCAGTGGCCGCTCCTGGCCACCGCGGCCTCGACCCGCTGGGCTCCG